AGACCCTTGTGGATTGTGGTCCGGTCCTTTCTCTGACTCCGTGCATAGTAGAAGCTTATTGCACTAGACTGCTTTTCTTTTTAATCATTGCTTGGAGCAATGTTAAAGTTATCCGCGTATGACCTTTAGGTCACGGGTTCGAATTGTAGAATTAGCTATTGATGTTTGCGTCAAGATAGATTGCCTACAATACTACATCACACACCCTTGGATGTGTTCCTTTTTTGGATCTTGCATAAATACGGATCATAATGTTTTTTGCATCAAACTGCTCTTTTATAACTAAGAGCTCCCCCTATGTGAATTTGCTCATATTGTCGATTTCAACTATGGATAAAGGAGTGTTATGGTAGGTCAATGACTAGCATAAAACTAGTTAATTTATGATGACTATTCAAAGTTCAGTTTTTTTTTTTGGTATAATACATAAATATGACTTTTAACTTGACTTCAGCGTACAACTATGCCCTCCAACTTTGAGTGTGCATAAGTAGACACTTAAACCTGTATAAAATTGAACAAGTAGACACACGTGTCTTACATGACATAATACACGTAGGACACAAAATTTTCATGTAGGGTGTCATGTAGGACAAATGTGTCTATTTGTTCAATTTTATACAAGTTTAAGTGCCTACTTATGTTCACCCAAAATTAAAAGTCATAGTTACCAATTGACGCCAAGTTAAGGGTCATGTTTATTTATTATATTTTTTTTTGTTAGATAGTAGATTCCCACAAAAGGACCAACAGCCACCAACATAGTCATTTTAAGTAAAACACCAATTACGCTTGAGCATAGAAGGCACATTTACAGCCATATTCATAAAAATTCATGTACTAACACATGAAAATTAATGAGCTACCCCTCAACTCTTGTAGTTATTATTTAAATAACCTGATAGTGAAAGGTTTTTTTTTTTTTTTTTTGTATTATCCATATATAGAAGTTAAACTCAAAACAAACTTGTGACCTGTCAATTATTTTTTTCTTCTTAATTTGTGACCTAATTAATTTTTTATGTTAATGAAATAAAGGGAACTTGAAGAAAATTCTTTGTGACACAACTGGCTTACATCCTAATGTTCAGAGATTATTGTTCCAAGGAAAAGAAAAGGATGAGAATGAATGCTTACACATTTCTGGTGTAAAAGACATGTCAAAGGTGATCCTAATGGAAGATCCAGCCAGCAAAGAGTTGAAGAAAATTCAAGATACCTCTATCTCTTCTGAAGCCATCGCCCGAGTAAGAGTAGAGGTCGATAAGCTCTCACATAGGGTACGCAAATTTTACTGATGATCATTCAACTTTTAGTGTATTGTATCAAAGTCATAATTAATTTGATAATGAAGAAATATAACTCAACTATGTATATGTACATACTATCTACGTGCCATCACTTTTTTTTTTTTAAAAAAAAATCATTTAATAATCGATATTTTTCACCATGTGGCAAATTGTGATTTTTAAAAGAAAATTACAAGTGGTGCCACATCATATTATGTAAGATGAGTTGTTGAAGGGTAGCTCTTTGTTTGGTGGAGGCCGGAGGGTTACACTTTTTAAGACACAATGGCTCTACTAGGCTAGGTCTGATCGAGCACTCTCTATTCTTTGTCCAATTTTGTCTTACCAAACAAGACTGGCATCTTACTCACTCGTCAATTTTTTAATGGGAAATGACTTGAAAAAGATTTCCCAAACTTGGTTATATAAGTCTATTGCTTTTATTGTAGGTTGTGGCCATAGAGGAAGCTGTGCAAAGAGGCACCAAAGTTGAGGACAGAGAATTTGTTGTCCTAACAGAGTTGTTCATGATTCAACTTCTTACACTTGATAGCATTGAAGCAGAAGGAGAAGCAAAAACTCAAAGGAGAAAGGAGGTTAGTAGGTGCATAGCTCACAAAAGTTAGTATTAAGCTAACGTCTGACCATAAATTTATAATGACAAAATGAGAATAAAAAAAATAAGGATAACAACTCGATCCTACCAAATCAGTTGTTACACAAAATAGGACATTTCAATGCTACCTAACAATGGATTTAACGATACTGTACAATAAAATTTAATAAATAATCAAAACAAATATTGTTATTAAAACTAATAACACAATATAATAGGTAACAACCATCCAAACAAGCCGTAAATGATGGTTTAAAGGATGCATCAAACTTTAGTTTCAAAGAAAAGTAAAATGTAATGTCCTTCTTGAGTAGGTCATGACAGATTCAGAATTTAAACACTAAATGCTCTGAGTAGCAAAAGTGAATCCCGAAATGACACATGTCTCTAACGACAAGTTTTTCGTCTCCTAACAGGTTCATCGCATTCAGAGTTTTGTTGATATGATTGACAATTTTAAAGCAAGAAGCTCTAGCATTGCTAGGAATTGTATTGGTACTATTTCAATGGTGAATACCAAATGGGAAATGTTTGATTCAGGAATTGGAAGCCTCAATGCACCAAGCCAATCCACAAAAATCACACAGGAGTGGGAAGTTTTTGACTGATTGATTTTGAGTCATGAGTTTCTTGTGTTGTTAGTGATAATATCAACTATGTATTGTTCTTTTAAAATCATTCTCTCATTGCTTGTGTAGAATTTTTTGGTGCACTTGTATGGTTAAGAAATGCTCTCAACTTAATTAAGGTTTAAATCATCTTGATGTCTGATATCTGTTTTAGGGTTTGATGAATTCTTAGTGGGAAAAAAAAAGTTAATGAAGGATCTCATTGAATTGAACTGGCTTTGTAAATCTAAGAAATGTTGAGAATTCTTAAATCTTTCTCAGTTTAAGAATCGAAGATTTTGGTTTGAATACGAATAAAACGAATAGCTTTGTAAGTGATTTTTCTATAAAAGATGAATTCTAACAACTTTTTAGTTATTTCGTTCTTTGTTTCTAATTAATAGGATCATGAGAAGAGGATTTTGTTTTCATTGAGCTAAGATAATATGTTGATACAATCTAAACACTACATTAAAATATACTCCTTCCGTTTGAATTTGTTTGATCACCTATTTTTTTTAGTCAATTTTAAAAAGAATAATTTTTTTATTAGTTTTGTCTCTGAACTATTTCAAACTTAAAAACACCGTTCTATTTGACTAACTAAACTTAGATATATCTTTAATCTGTCACATAACATATATACCAAGTAGTCTCAAACTCTTATAAGAGCATGATTTTAATAAAAAATCGAGAAAAATGTTGTAAACACCCCTAAACTTGGCAAGAATTCAAAGGTGTATTTCACTCATGTTGCATGATTGGAGGTATATTTAAGTTCAATTATTCAAGTAAAAGGGTGTTTTAAAGGTTGTTTGAAAATGAAACTAATAACTCACGTCGAGTTTAAGAGTGTTTTCAATACTTCTCTTGTCATTGTTTCAATAACTCTTTAATTTCAACTTTTCATATAACATGTTTAATACTACAAGATTGAAGAACATTTTGGTACATTTGACATATTTTTAATTTAAGACAACAAAATTCCAAAATTTTCTTTATTTTTTTAAACTTCGTCTCAAATTAAAATTATTAAACAAATAAAAAGGGAGGAAGAACAAAGCCAACAATCCGTTGTAGTCTAGTTGGTTAGGATACTCGGCTCTCACCCGAGAGACCCGGGTTCAAGTCCCGGCAACGGAATATCTTTTTTTTAATTTTCTTTAATTTCATCTTCTTTTGGTACATGCCCTAAAATGTACTGGTAATAATGGTAATATGATGTAAAATGCTAATTTGCTATTCACTAATTTAATTCTAATTGAAAAAAAAAGTTTGCCGTGGAATATGCATCAAACTATTAAAAGAAAATTGTTTATTGGAGTTGTTCTTGAATATTTGAAAATTGAAATAATTTTATGTTCCAATAAGTTTTTGGTAAAAAGTGAAAATTATCTATCACCAACGGGCATAATATTATCATATGCATCAAACTATTAAAAAAATACATTACCTATCGGAATTGTTTTTGAAAATTGAAACGATTTTATGGTCAAATAAGTTTTCGATAAAAAGTGAAAACTATCTATAACCAACGGGCATAATATTATCAATTATTGATATTGTTGTTTATTAATATTATCGATTATTGATATTGTTGTTTATTCTTTATTTCATGGCCATGTTATCAAAGTGAAAGGTAAATTATATAGAACAATTAAAATATCAATTATGTTATATGATAGTGTTAATGTCGGAGTGCTAATTGCAAAAGTTTCAACATACATAAGTTCTATAGAACAATTCTAAAAATTAAAATAGGTTCTAAATCCAAAGCTCCATGATTCCATGACTCTTTAATATGTAAACTAAAATGCTTTTTTCTCCAAACAAGTTGTAACATTAGCCATGGCATGTTAGTTTGTGTTTAATATAATTAAGTTTGTACTCCCTCGGCTTCTAATTACTTGTTCATTTTTAATTGACACATCTATTTAGAAAATAATTATTGATATAGTTAGTTTACCATTTTACTCCTATTAATTATGAAGTGGATGAATTCAAAATTTAAGATTTTCAAGAAATTCTACCTTTTTTAAAGTAATTAATTGAGGGTATAATAGGTATACAAAAATTGTCCTTTCTTGATTTGTCAAAATGGACAAGTAATTAGGGACAATTAAAAAAGGAAAAATGGACACGTAATTAGACACAAAGGGAGTAATACATAAACATACTTGTAATTTAGATTTCAGTAAATACTTAAATTTATATAAAATTAAACAAATAGATAGATAAATTTTACTTGGAATAATGCACATAAAATATTATATAGGACATGAATTGCCTTATAAAACATGTCTCTATTTGTTTAAATTTAAGTCTCTATTTATATTATCAAATTACATAAATATTAGCTAAAGTCAAATTAAATTATCTTTTTATTTTCTTAATAGGCGGTGTAAAAAATGAAAATGATCAATGAAGTATGTCTATAATTACTAATACTAAAAAATCTTTTGCTAGTATTTACATTTCACCAAGGAATGATAAATAATTTCGTCAAAAGGAATAATTGTTGTTTGAATTCAGAGATCGGCGGCGAGTAAAGAGAAATGGAGAAAGAGGGAAAAAGCGACGCCGATAACCGGAGTACAATCACAGTGAATGTTAAGTTCAGTGGTCGATCGATACCGGTGGAAATCTCCGACGAGTGCACTGTCAAACACCTCAAGTCTCTCCTTCAACCACTCACAAATGTCCTCTCTCGCGGCCAAAAACTCATCTTCAAAGGTATTTTTTCTTTCAATTCTAACCTATCAGCATTATTTCGTACGCAATCGGAGCTCCAAAGAACTGAATATCAATGAATTTGATAGATGACATAATTTTTTTCATGAATAGGGAAAGTTTTGGTGGATGAAATAACATTGAAGTCATCGGAGGTTGGAAATGGTGCGAAGATCATGCTTATGGCTTCCCAGGGCTTACATCAAGGGGTAATTCTTTATTTTCCTTTACATTATACTCTATTGAGCATAACTATTTGGGATTAGTACTTATATGTGTTACTATACTTAGTTTGTTTATGGATTTGTACATAACTAGAAAATGGAGAGAACCTCTAGTATTGATAAGCTTCTCAGTTGTGTTAAAGGATAACATATTGATTACTAGAATGAATTAAGGCTACGCGGAGTAGAATGTATATTTAGATATAGGAGACTACAACTGATTTGGATTGAGGTGTAATTGATTGAGCCGTGCTTGTGACTTTCGAATTTTTGTAAAATTGAAAAACCAGAAATTCCACTGAATTTATCCCAGTTAGGTCCTGAACTTCTGCTTTCTTAAAGCTTATTTGTGTATATTGGATAGGATGGACCAATAAGAAAGGAAGCTTCCAACTTGCCCACAGCGAGGAGGATGCCTGAAGCTATGAGACCTAAAAGGGATGTTCCTCAAGTTCCTGTTGTGAAGAGCCAACTTGAACGGTGGAAGGCCACTGGGGTTGTTGCATTATCAGAATGCAATCTGAAGGTAAGACGAGAAGTAACTGACTTTGCTTTGTCCAATGATTTAGAACTTGTTCTTACCGTGAACAATCTCTATTGACGGGACAAGAGATACAATTGTTGAACTGGAACTCACTTTGATCCCAATCATATGCATATTGGAGTTGACCTAAAAATAGAATTGTTTGGTCTTTTCCTTTTTCCTTCTAATTCATTTTTTTAATTTTATATCTAATGCATTTTCTGGCTCGAGTAGGTGAGATAGCCAAGCTATTTCCTTCTCTTTCGTATACAATATGGGAAAAACCACTAAAGAAAAGAATCCATAAATTTATAAAAGTGGTCTAAGGGATTTGAACCTTTGATTGTTCTTCATTCTGGCTATAATATCAGTTTCAGTAATGGAGCTGTTAACAACTCATCCATCTGTATGGAGACTAATTTTGCAGTTTTACTCCAAATAGAACATGGCCTTTGGAGTGGATCCCCAGTATCTTTAGAAAGATCTTAGGTGTGAGTTGTAACTCCACCAGTTATGCAGTCTAAACAAAAAACAAAATTCTATCTCCCCTCCACTATGAATAAAACTGCCAAAAGAGAGGAGTATTGTCAAATAGATTCAATACATTTGGAATAAAACAAAATCCTTCCCTGACATGTTTTATTCCAATTTAAAACTTTGGCTGATAGATGGGCTGAATATTGTTCATTTTTGGGAAATTGGAGGACCAAGTGTCATGACCTTCCTCATAGGCCATAGCTTGTGACAAAATGTTGTATCTCCATTTTGTTCACCTTTTGAACTTATTTATTGCATCACCAAAACCAAAATGACCACCCCAGTGTTGTGAAAGGCGCCCGCCTTTCGCCAAAGGCGATAAGGCCAGGCGAGGTGAGGCTGTTATGCCTATTTACAGTGAGGTGAGGCTAGATTAAATAGGCGAGCTATGGCGGCAATATGGCAATGGCGAGGCGTGGCGGCGCCTTTTTTATTTTTATTTTTTAAAAAGGCCCGACTTAATAATATTAGTCAAAATTAGGGTTTCTGCAAACTTTCATTCAGTCGCGACTCGTGACTTCTTCTATCGGAATCGTCGAGCACTCGAGCTTCTTCTACTCTTCTCCTTCGCGCGAGTCACGTCTGCCAGGTATGACTACGAAGACCTCTTCTTCTTCAGTCAGTTCTCTTCTTCTTCTTCTTCTCTTCTTTTCAGTTTTTCTCTACTTCAGTTTCTTCTTCTTCAGTCTGTCTGCTCACTGCTCTGTTTTCGTGGTAGTGAACTGCTCTGTTTTGTCGCTCACTGGCCACTGCTGAGTGCTGACTGCTCACTGCTGTCTATATTTTAAAAAAATAATTTGATCCTTCTATATTAATTTAGTTTTATACTAATTAATATAGTATTTATTTGTCAATTGTCTTTTGAATTAAGTCTTTAAAGTTCTAGATTTTTAGTATCTACTATTAGTTTTAGAATTGAAATATTTGCTAATATATGTTACTGCTATTGAGATTTTGGATATATGCAATTAAATATTTTTAATTTTTGGTATTAATTGGCGCCTCAATTCAAAAAGGCGAGCGCCTCGCCGCGAGGCGAGGCAGGCCTTGTCAGCCTTTCGCCATCCAAAACACTGGACCACCCAAAGTTTCCTCATTTGCAAGACTAAGTTTAAATTTAAGACCCAAAAAGATGCAGTCATGTAGAGAAAAGAAAAAAGAAAAAAAATACTACCGTGCAGTTCAAACTTATTGAATGAATGTTGGGTTATTCTGAGAGCACATTTAGCCTGCATTAATCAGATAAAATCCCTTCTATATATCATGTGTGCATGTACATATTGTGTATCCAGTATGAAAGTATACTATGGTCAAATGGTAAATTCATCTTAGCCAAGTAGTAGGACCAAGTTTGATTCCTTCTATCGCCCAAGAGTTATTTATCTACTTGTGTTAAATCGTAAATAGCATTATGTACGTCCTGAAACTACGTTCGCAGCCGATTCTTTTTGCTTTTTCCTCCTCTTGAAGATATTGCTCTCATTACATATTGGAACTTGATAGGTCTTGCCTGATGAAGTGTTGACCTGTGGACCTTCCGCTAGAGTCCTGGATCTCAGCCACAACGCCATACAGCATCTTCCAGCCGCAATTAATAGCTTGAGTTCTCTTCAGGTCAGTAGAGCTGACTTCTTTATATTTCTTTGAAATTGCGATTTATTCACTTGTTTGAGGCAGAAATTTATTTTGGTATTGTTTCTGCTTCCCAGAAATTGATCCTCAATGGGAATGAAATTATGGATAATTCCTTAAGCTGGGAAGAGCTAGCTTCTATAAAGAGTCTTATGGTTATCTCACTGAACCAAAACCAGTAAGTCCCCCTTCATCAGCATATTACTCTCCAAGCTGAATTGGATTCACCAATATATTGCATCGCCTCTATTTAATTGAAGTAGAAACGTATTCTTTTCTGCACCATTAAATGATGGCTACACCAAACATGTATGTACATTTGAGTGTGAGGGACAATAATTGCAATGTCATAGTTCTCATTTATTGTTTTCATAAAATTAAAATATGAAAACTGAAGTATATCAATGAGTAATATAAGTTGTTGAATTTCTAGTATTCAAATGTTAAGTTGCATCATTGGAATGTTAGTCATTCCAAGTTTTCCTTTGACATACAGCTTGAAACTAAATTGTAAAATTCACTCACAGTTTTCTGTCTTATATACTTGTTTTCCTTGCACTTTTATGAGTATATATTTATTAAAAGTTACTTTCAGAATAGTCGAATACTTACAAAAACATAATTGAAAAATTGTCAATTGTCATGGTCTCTCAAATGTTTGAATAGGTTGGCTTTTACATATCAGTTTATAGTTTATTTGAACTAGTGATTGGGTATTGGCAATTTCTATGTTAACTCAATTTGTTCTCACAGAAATATTATAAAGCTTTTAATCGGTTCTTTAGTTACTCAGTTTTAACTTGCAAGTGCCAAATTGGTTATCAGACAACCCATTAGCTAAAGTATAAAAACCGTTCCAATGTATAAGATTCACATATAACTTAAGACAATTGGACGATGGATATAAGCCCAAATACTGCTTTTGGCAGAGGGGAGAGACCAATTCTTCATGCTTGTAGTGTTTGGTGGATTGTAAATTGTACCAAGGCAAGTCTAATCATAAAACAACATTATTTATTGACTGACCCTCTCAAACATGCATGAAAACTGAAAATAAAGCTGTCTATCTTTCATTCACAAAATACATGGTATTAATTTTTTGGTCAGTGACATTCAGATGTCGTTTTGTGTTACAATTTTATTTTCTGATACATCTTACTCTGTTTACCAACCTCAAATCATATATCATATGCCATTATTTCGTATGAAGGTTTCTTGTATGATTGTATCAAGTAGTCTTCTTTGGTATGCAGCATAGCAACACTGCCTCCTGAGGTCGGCACTTTGACCGGTCTGAGACAACTTCATATTGCACATAACGAGTTAACAGGTCTCCCATCTGAGATAGGTCTGCTGACCAGCCTTGAGGTTCTGAAAGTTAACAACAACAGGTAATTTGAAGTACTGAAACAAAAAAAGATATTTCAATGATATGGAATCAGCGTGAAATTGCATGTCCAAACGCTGATTTCATCTCACGATTCCATATCGTGATATGGTATCGCATGGCCAAACGCCTACTTAGTGTTTTACGTTATTGTTCCCTCTCCTCCTTTTCTGGAGGTCATGGATGTTTCGGAGTCTGTTGATTTTCTTTTTATCTTTTATTTTTCTTTGAAGTGATAAGGACCTAAGTTACGTTTGTAAGCTTAACCTTTTAATTGCAGGATACGCTCTATTCCGGAAAGTATAGGGGGTTGTGTTTCTCTTATTGAGGTAAAAAAGGGCATATTTTCATCTACCCACTTGTCTTCTCTTCTCTTTCATTAACTGGAATCATGAAATCCAAAATATAGGCTGAAACCTGCAATAAGTTCCAGCGTTTATTGTTTCTTGTGATGTTATTACCTATATACAGATAACGTGATTCTATATGGTGTAGGTTGATCTTTCATCTAATCTTTTGGTAGAGCTGCCAGAAACAATTAGCAAACTAAAGGACTTAAAGGTCTGTCTTCATCTATACATTTTTCGTTTTCTCTTTTGAAGTCATTCTTCAAAATACCACTTCAGTTTACAGCTTTTTATATGCAATATAAAAAAAAATCTTTTTTTTTTTTATAAATGCCGTACAGAAAAGAACTTGCAAATGTTTTACGAAATTAGCTATATATGCTCAAGTACTGGTTGTTAGACATTGGTAAAGAATGTAACATAGTTTTCTAAGATAGAGCATAGCCTGGATGGACATTTATGTATCAGCTCTAGAACATTCAGCTATGACATTTTAAACCAAACTAGAGGATTTACTGCCATAATCTGCTGGACCGACACCATTTGCTTGGATAAAAGCACAGCACATGATAGGTAAAATTTAATCATGGTTAAGCGAAAAACTTGGTTTTATCAATTGGCGCTAGTAAGTTTATACTGCACATTATAGGGGCATGTCACGAGTTTAAATGTTGCCACAGAAATATTCAAGTGGAGAAGGATAGATGGTAGTCCATTATCACATAGTGTCGAACTGTGTGCCAACCAACTCCCAGGGATCTCTCAGTTATCAAAAGGGAAAAAATGTTGTTTTCTTTGCAAGGCACGACACAAATTTCTTTAGTCAACAATGTTTTCTGAAACATCTAGCATCATGTGATGGCCTCTTTTACCTGACAGTATGTTTTTGCCCCAATTATTTGTGTGGTTCATGTCCGATTACTGGTGCAGGCACTTTATCTTAGGAACAACGGGCTCAAATCCCTTCCTAGCAGCATTTTTACACAGTGCTGTCAACTCTCTACACTAGATCTCCATGGAACTGAAATAACTATAGATGTTATCTGCCAGGTAGTAAATTATTTACTACTATAAAGTATAAACAGTAATATGCTCTATCTAGTATGCCTCTTACGATTTTCAAACAATCACAGATTGAAGGATGGGAGAATTTTGATGAGAGAAGACGCTCGAAGCATCAGAAACAACTGGACTTCAGAGTGAGCAGCTCTGGCAAATTTGACGAAGGAGCTGATCAAAGCTGATAAGGCCTGATACAAATTGCTCGGTAACTCGGTTTTATATACACCCTGACATACATTTGCATAGTGATCCCTAGCAAACTTTACAGAAGAATCTTGTAGTACCTGTTAAGATACATCAAGAAATTATAATGAGCATACTTGCTCCTCTGTGCACTCCCTAAAGATGATTAAATTTTCTGAAGGCTTACTATAAAGCTTTCTGCATCTTCTCAAACTGTTACATATATAGTTGAATGAAAATTCCCTTTTAAGGATACATATTACAAATTGCTGAACCCCTAAAGAATTGAATTATTTGACTTGCCAGTTGAAAGTTACATACTCCCTCCGTTAGAGAAGGATCCAGAATTTATATTTTGCAGGTTCAACATTTAAAGTTTTTTATCCTTGAATCGTTGTATCTATTGTTTATTATAATTTTTTTTAATGTTTTACTCATAAATTATACATCACACCAAAAGTACTGGGTTCAGATGAAGTCGGTACCAAAGAGCTACATCCGTCCTTGCCTCCCATCTCAATTTTTGTGGCACAATTGAAATTTCGAGAGTCATAATTAAGTTTTTCTTTTATTTGAATTTTTTTATGTCTTTAATTTTTTGTATGTATTCAAGTGCTCCGTCTGCAAGCCATTGGATCAGATTGTCTTATTGAAAGGTTGGCTAAATGCCAATGAAACTTTGTACGCGCTATTCTCTTCAGCACTTAAAAGAGAGATTTCTCATATTCAGATTATAAGTTGGGGAATCGAATTCTTATCATAACGAATGGATTTGCCCACATAGTGACTCATGACCTAGATCCAACATTCAACATCTCTCACATCACTCATGATATATTAGATTCAAATCACTATCAGGTTAACAACACACATAATTCATACAAATAAATAGTTTGTGTGACGTGCGAGCATCATGATTTATATAAGAGCTCTACATAGGAATTCAATCACACGTGGAGAGAATTCACTAATATGATGATCTTTTTTTTCCTCACAATACCTCAAACATTTAATAATTAAAATTTTAGTTGATTTCAAAGTTCTAAATATCAAGAAAATAGTAAATGACAATTTGTCTATTGTAGAGTATGAAGGGCAAAAAGTTCAACATTTCTAAGCACCTTAATATTATAAATATAATGTCATAAAATTATTTAAAAATTGATAAAAAGATAATCTATCAAGTTTGACTAAAAAAGTAGTTTGCAATATAAAATACGAATCAATGCTCCTAAAACAAATAAAATTGAAAATATAACACAAGTTCTAAATTCAAAACAAAACATTTAACATGATAATTTTATGTCAAATTTCAATATAACATACATAAATATGATTTAAAAGAAAAGGAAAACGTAAGTCCATAACCTTATTCAATGATGAATTCTACTTTAATTTAAAAATTTGAATACTAACAAAATTATACCAGTGAATTTTTTTTAGATAATACGAAAAATCACATGGAATCACATGTTGAGAATGAGAAGGAAATGAAATATAAATAAAATATAATGCAAAATTAAAATAAAAAAAAATTAGAAACCAATAGAATAATAAAAATTAAAAAGAATTTAAAATAATAGAAGTAAAATAAATTAAAACGAAAAGAAAGAAAATTAAGACGTGATTAGCACCATGTAATTACCAGCAATTCATTACACCAAATTACCCACTGACCAAGTAATTACATGACCAACCAAACATGTCAGGCGAGTAGTTACACCAAATCCACCAACCAAGATGGCTTTCCAAACAAGCCCTTGGAGATCAAATTTCAAGGTAATTAGGAAAAAACAATAGTTTAACTGTTTAAATGTGTCTAAGTTGGGAGGTGATATGCCTTCTTTTTAAAGGGACCTTATAGTTCGAATAGGAGGATTTCAGAAGAGGCTCGAAATATTCCCTAGGTATTATATTATGCCTTCTTTTTAAAAAATATACTAAGTTTTTGATACTAAAGCTAAAAAGGAAATTAATAGGAAATACAATCCAAGAACTTACACAAGACCTTTTAATCCCCGCTTGCTCCATGGACTAACCTTCTGAGCCAAGAGTCAAAACTTGTTAGAACTTGAAGTTTTGCTCATGGGGTAAATGAGGTCGAAAGTTCAAGACCTCTTTTTTGCAAATCACCCACTGACATGATTAACCCCAAAATGGTCAAAAACTCATCCAAGTTGATTCGAAATAGAAGCTATGCATGAAAGATCTCAAAATCTTACTAGAAATGTTCCACAAATACATAATAATTCATGAAGGTAAACCACTCATGCAGATGCAGCAACCATTCCTTGTCGCCGCTCCAATCCAACCACAACAAGATACTATTACAAGAACTGCTCCGATACAAATATTATGAGCCTGCCTGCAGCATATCAAATAAGTCAATTAGTTTTCCGCATGAAATTCAAACTTGGAGAGGAAGCAGAACATCAGATATGAGTCATCCAAAACGAATAATCTTGTCATTCTATAATCTTAATAAATCATGGAGTCAAGTTCTGAGGATTCAAACCGACTCAAAACTACAGATATGTTATGAAGAGAAGGCAGTAGTGTCTGTTTACAGTACAAATGGCACAAACAAACAGGTAAAGACCATATATAATTTGTCAGAAACTTATGGAGCAAACTCCTAAAGCACATTCAAATTAAACTAGGAAGTGGTAGAAAATTGCTATTCAGGTAAGACGAATGGATATGGAACAGGCCATTCAAGGAGCAATTTCCCAGGATTTTCAGCTTTGCAACAGTAGAAGTGTATCAGTCTCAAAAAGGATAGAATATAACCTTTGGAAAGAAGGTGTAGTGACTGTGAAAAGGAGGAATGAGCCAGGAAGCTGATAGACTATGTTGCAAAGTATTTAAGCTTATCTTCACTAAAAAGGCAAGAGGTCTGAGAAATGAAGCAAAAACTAACACCTGTCACCAATTGCATCACTTTCTTACTTCAGTTTCTAATGCGACCATGATGAGCTTGTTCTACAACCCACACAAACAAATTTGACATCATTTTAAAAGAATGTCTTGCAATCTAACTACAGATCTAACTAGAATAGCATTTGGCATGAAACACATTTCAATACTGCACTTTTCTTTTATATGAGAAGAGCCATCAAATTTACCTCTTCTGTCATAAAGTTCCCAACTTCTGTTGCTTGGATAATCTTCCCAGTTCTATGACTTCCCTGACGTAATCTGATTCAAGAGAGTTAATGAGAGAGAGAGTAGGAGAAAAAAGAAAGTACAAAGAGCATTTGGTTAAAATAAATTACATATGACCGACGATTTGTGTCGGCATCTAAGTAAATCACCTTGCAAAACTAGACAATAGAAAATGGAGAATTAAAACTTTTATCTCCAATTTTTAAGTGAAGCTCTTGTATGATGTCAAGGACGGAAGGATTCTCCCTTATAACGTTTATCAAAAACCCAGTTGTAGTTGCATCAAATGAGAAGCCCCTTCCAGCTATTTCCTTCATGAAAGATGCCATTTCACTAATTTTGTTGCACCTGAGAAATCCTTGCACAACAACATTGTAAGTGATATTGTTGGGAAAACAACCATTGTCTTCCATCTTCCTTGGAATATCTTTAGATTCATCCAAAAAGCCTTCAAGACTATTTTACTATGTCACCCTTTGAATATAATAAATACAATGTCTTGAAAAATATAATAGGAAAATGACTATGATTAATGGTAAGGGTAAATTAGGAACTAAAGAGTTATTTGGTGTGATGGATAAGAGAATTTAATCCAGGGAAAATTTTTAAGTGGTCATTAATTTGTTGTTTGGTTGCAAAGGGTGGGATAACTTATCCCAGGATTAACCATTAATCCAGGGATAAGTTATCCCTCCATGGGGTGGAATAATAATCCCAGGATAAATTAGGTAATCCAACCCAAACAAGAAAGGAATATTAGAAAAAAAAACTGAAAAATACTTATGATTTCCTATTTGGATAGAAATTCTATCCAAACTTAAGTCTATTACAAGGAAATAAGGTTGAGAAATGGTCACCAAGCTGGATTTATCAATTATGGGGCAACAGATGGGTTGAATGGGCTGAGCTGAAATCCAATGGCAGAAGTGGTGGCATTATAATACTTTGGGAAAAAAGACAATGGACAGTCAGAGAAATTCATAGGGGCAGTTACACCATTTCATGTTTGATGGAGAGTACAAGAGGAGTTCAGATGGGGTTTCACAGGTGTTATCTACAGACCTCACAACAATCCAGAAAGAGAGCTATTGTGCTATGAACTTGCAGCAGTACGGGATTTATGGAATGATTGGTGGGTAGTTGGAGAGGACTTTAATGTTTGCAGATACAAGAGTGAAAAAAAACAACGGTAGTAGAAGATCCAACGCAATAAACAACTTCAGTGAATTCATTCTTAATCTGGGAATTATTGATTTACCTTTACTAAGGGGAAACTTCTCTTGGTTCATGGGTGAAGACTCTCTGCAAGCCTCTAGAATAGACAGATTTCTAATCTCCCCGGGTGGAATGATACTTTCGACTTAATAAAGTTACCAAAAACAAGTATTACATTCAATACTTATGGATTTTAATATTTGAATACTTTCCTGAAATATCAATTATAAAAATAAAAATAGTGAAATAAGGTAATGAGAAGTTTTTTGCTTTCTACAGCAAATGTTAATCAATGTATTACGTTAATTGCCAAAACTGTGATTTGTTTAAAAAGAGGGGAGAGGTTGGGTTATGTTGGGTGAGTTGGGTTACAACCCATTGTTTGACCCAGTAAAAATATAGGAAGTGGTTTACCTTTTCAATAAGCCTGCCTGCAAATCCCAAGCGACGTTCTAATTGGCTTTTCTGCTTCCAAAACTGCATTAGAAAGCATTTCTTTTGCAGTGCTAAAAGGAAATTGTATCACAATGATAGTGTAGCCGAATAAATCAGGCGAAAGAAATATTCACTTCATAATTTTTGAGTGAAGCTCTAGTATCATGTCAAGGACGGACGGACTCTCCCTTAGAACGTTTACCAATAACTCAGTTGTAGTTGCATCAAATGAGAAACCCCTACCCGTCATTTCCTTCATAAAAGTTGTCATTTCAGTAATTTTGCTACACCTGAGAAATCCTTGCACAAGGACATTGTAAGTGAAGACATTTGGCAGATAACCATTCTCCTCCATTTTTCTTAGCATATCATTAGCTTCATCTAACAACCCTTCAAGACATAATCCATTAATCATTATATTGTATGTTCTCACATTCGGTAGCACTCCAATTAAAGGAAGGTTCTCAAAAATGGCACGAGCTTCGTCGAGTTTACCATTTTTGCACAAGCCACCAATGACAATATTGTATAAAATAATATCAGTATCTTCTCTCTTTCTTTCCAACTTATTAAAGAGCGACAAAGCTTCTTCAACAAGTCCATACTTAAAATAACCATTGAGCAAAGTGCCATGAATGTAAAAATTAGGTATGGGCCCTGCAGATTGCATCTCAGCAAAGAATTTTTTTGCATGGCCTATTCTTCCAACTTTAAAAAGACCTTGCAAGATAGTATTGTAGGTAACGACATCAGGTTTTGATCCCTTTTGAGAAACTTCACAAAACAACTGCATGGCCTCATCCACTTTCTTTTTCTTACAGTATCCATTTATTAGTATGGTATAGCTAATAATGTTAGGCTCAATACCCTTATCGATCATGATATTGAAAATTCTCCTCGATCTATCGACTTGACCACGCAAACAATATCCATCCATTATCGCATTATATGTGATTATATCAGGCTCTACACCTTTTCTGACCATGTGTTTCATTACTTCCTCGGCATCTTCAACTTTCCCTTCTTTGCATAGTCCATCTGTTAGTATGTTGAAGGTGTGCACATCTGGATACATAGTAAGGTTCACCATCTCCGAGAACAAAGTTTTAACCTTTTCCCACTGACCGAGCTTACACAAACCATCAATTATTGAATTATATGTGACTATGTTTGGAGGAATGTCTTTTTGCTTCATCTCGTTCAGAATGTTGATAGCAGCATCTAAGTTTCCATCTTTGCAAAGAGCATCTATAACAATGTTGTAGATATATATGTTGGGCTCGGTGTTACCTTGTTCCATTAACCGGAGCAAACCTAAAGTTTTTTGAGTATGACCCCTTTTGCTGAGCCCATTCATTACAGTTGCATACATGAAGTCGTTGGGCTCACAGATATCCTCTCTCACCAATTTTTTGAACAATTCAACAGCATCTCTGACCTTATTTTCACTAAAGAGTCCCCTTATTAAAGTGGTAAAGGTGACAACATTAAACGGAATGCCATTCTTCAAGTAAATGGGTAACACAGAAAATGCACAATCAGCAGAGTAATGCATAAGGCAATAACTGTTAATCACACTAGTCAAGATGAAGCCATCAATTGGGATACCCAATTTCTGCATTTGTCGAAAAAGAAAAAGGACAGCAGAGTAATGTTTCATACTTATCATAGTCTTAAACAATTTAGAGAAATCAACAACTGAAGGAAGAGGTTTCATTGTAACCATTTGATGGAAGAGAGTAACAGCATCATCTAAATTGCTGCTATTTACACCAATTTTATCCTTTACTGTAATAGATTTATTACTGTAATGGCAAGAAGAACAAGTTCTCACAGTAATTGCTGAATCAGCAAAGAAAGAGACAAAGGGAATACCATTGCAATTGCCATTGCCATTTTGCAGAGAAATTCTCCTCATCTTCTTCAATGGCTATATCTCTATGTGCCCTAATTTTATTTTATTTTGTAATAAGTTTTCATTTGGGTGGGTGGGTGTGGCGAAGTGTATTAGAAAAATGGCCTAATATATACTACATCCGTTTACTTTTAATTGTAACTAGGTAAATTATTCGTACTTTGCACGGAATTGAACTCTTTTATTAAGCTTACATATGATTATTCTGTAATATACATATTTTTGATACATACTCTACATTATCAACAACATTTTATCTTAAGGCAAAACATTCCTCCGAAGTCTTAAAGTGTTATATTAATAACATAAGCATAAACTAATGACTGTAAAAAACATACCAGGATCTGTAACAATAGAATGAAATAGAAAGGAAAAAATTGAGCCCATTGATTGCACAGTGTCCCTTAAGGAAATAATTCTCCTCTAGTACCCGAGGTTTAAAGGAATTATTCCTCTCATGATAGAACGATTCTATTCATCAGTGTATTGATACAAATACAATGGTGTAGTTAGTCACTCAACAGGAGCAGAGTACACGAATATTTATTTGTGCAGAAGAAGAAGAAGAGGTTCAGAATTTTCGTTGTTTTAAAATGAGAGGAAATCCCTCTATTTATAAACAACAAAGGGTAGTGTCAACAAATATATGTTGTGCTTTATCGGAAATGTCACAACTCTTTAGAAAAGTTACAACCCTTTAGAAAGGTAACAACCTTTCATAAAAGTCACAACTTTTCATAAAAGTCGCAACTCTTCATAAAAGTCACAATTTTTCATAAAAGTCACAACTTTTCATAAAAGTCATAACTTTTTATAAAAGTCACAATTTTCATTAAAGTCGCAACTCTTTATAAAAGTCACAACTTTTCATAAAGCCACAACGTTTCATGAAAGGGGAAGCTAGTTTTGAAAATAAATAAATTTAAAAAGGAATCTTGTTTTGTGGTGGCACCACGTAGGCGGGCCTAGAGTTCTCTTATATATATATATATATACTAGTTTTACGACACGTGTGTATTGTATATATAATATATGAGGTTATAAAATAGAATTAATATTACTAAATTAAAGTTTTTTAGTAAATAATTATAATTGAACAAACATATGACAAGTGTTTTTAAAGTATTAATACATATTGTCATAGAGTTACTTGTATTTTAAGATCAAAATGACCAGATATCATTAAAACATTTTAAAATACATTCAAAGTTTAAATAGGAGAGAAAGTGACATTTTTTTAATAATATTATTTCTTACTTCACTCAATTTTATAAACAAATCTAACCAACGAAATAGAAAAAAAATGTCACCAATAGCCTTTCCTCTTGAGGTTATGAACATAAATGATGTACACCGTTTAAGTACAAATTTTATCTTAAATATTCATACTTGAAATTTAGTATGTGCATGACACTAATAGGGATTACCATAAGTATTTCAATATTTTTACCTTTATATGTAACATATCTTTTACTAAATATTATTACTCTATTAATATTTGAGTAAGACTATCATAGAGAGGTAATTTTACCAAAATGTGTACTTGGTTGTTATCATGAATGATGGTTATATATACTTAAGTAGAATAATTTAATTTTAATATATGAATAACATCACAATCATTTTATTAAGTTTCTACCTTATCTTTGTGGAATTGTAGTCTTCTCTTTTTTTCTACCGCATACATATCATATAGTTGTTATCTAATGAAAGTATTTAGTATCTTATAGAAGTTGTATCATGATATAAAATATTTAAATCTTTCAATAATAAAAATTAATAGATTAATAAAATGTAAAGTATTATTTATTGAATGGGAAAAGGGTCTGAAAAATACCCAATTTTGACCGAATTTGTTGTTACGATACCAAACTTCCATGAGGACCTATTACCCCCCTAGACTATTTAATACTGTATTTTTTACCCCCTGAACTATTTAATAGTGTATTTTAAAGGTATATATGTGCCCACGTGGACACATTACTATTTATAATTATGCAATATTTTTTATGTCCACGTGGGCACACATATATATGTTTAAAATACGGTATTAAATAGTTTATGAGGGTAATAGGTCCTCATAAAAGTTTGGTATCATAACAGCAAATTCGGCCAAAATTGAGGTATTTTTCAAACTTTTATCCCTTGTAAAATCATTAATTTGATTTAAGATCATTTTATGATCAATCACTATTTTCTTATCTATTTTTATATAGCTAGAATGGAGTGTGTCTTGTGATAAAAAGAAAAAAATATATGGAACAATACATAGAGACGAAAATATATGTTCATGCTATATACACTCTAGTGTCCATTTGATTTAAATCTCTTGTCACCAACACTTTGCTTTCTCCATTCATTTTTACGTACATATCTATTAAAAGTAATTATAATTATGGCTATGTTATCATATTATAAGTAAAAGTTAAAATCTATTTTTGAAATAGTGAATTTAACATCAAAACTAATAATTCAATGGACTACGTTGATACCTATTATTTTAGAGAAATTAGGAAGAAATTCCTTCGTTTGAGGGAAACGAATAAAAAATAAAAAAACAAAGAAGAAATATCTTACCCAAATCATATGCCTTTTTTCATATCTGTTTAATATTATTGTCTCTCCCACAATTTTTCGTCACTGTGAACTCATGAAAATGGTAAGAAAAAATACGAGTGTGAATTGATGAATGATTTGCTACAATTTTTTCACCAACTTTTTCTTATGAGGTACCTCGAATTTCGTTGAATTCCGAACTTAATCAGTTTTTGCAAATAACACTTGAGATTTTTTAAGAAGAAGAAGAGTAGAAAACTTAAAGAAATTGTTGTTTAAAAGTGTGAGGAAACCCCTCTTTTTATAGCTACCAAATAGTAGTATGAATAAGTGTTAATTGTGCCTTATCCGAAAAGTCACAACCTTTCGAAAAAGGCACTACTTATCGGAAAACTCACAACCCTTTAAAAAAGGCACAACTCATCAGAAAAGACACAACCCTTTGAAAATGTTACAACCCTTTGAAAAAATCACAACTCATTGAAAAAGTCACAACCCATCAAAAAAATTCACAACCCTTTGAAAAAGTCACAACTCATTGAAAAAGACATAATCCTTTAATTTGAAAAGGTAATATAATAAAATTAATTAAATTAATAAATAAAATAAATTGAGTATTTTTAATTGAGGGTATTATAGTAATTCAAAATTCAAGTTTGGGAGTTCATGATTTTAAGGTAGTATATATATATATATATATATATAATAGTTCTCTTTTTTAGAGTCAAATTATAAAAAATTTGACTAACATTTTACTATGTATATTTTCATCATATTGATATGCAAAATATTACAATTTATAGTACATTCGTATAGTTTTTAAATATCTATTTTTTTAAAATTATCAATTTAATATAATCTAATTTAACTTTGAAAATTAATCAAATTGCTAAAAGAGTTATCACGTGAATAATTGTGAGCATATTTTTAGCATTGTGATTTTAAGAGCGAATTATTTTACGAGACATTTTTTAATAGGCCACAGGCCTTCTCACGTCCAATATATCGATAAAATCAAATAAATATTCTTATGATTATAATTTCTACTATTCACATAATTAGATATGAACAGTGGCGAATTTAGGTGCAAAAATAAGGGCACCCGAACCCGTGGTCTCTTCGTAAAATTAGATATTTTATGTATATATTTTTTAATATTTGTATAATATTATATTCTTGCACCCGTTACTATAAAAAATCTAGTTGGTCCACATGGTTAAATGTTGAGCTTTTGACTTTGAGGACTGAGGATCAATTCCACTTAATACATTTTTCTTGGTGCACTCATATTCAGATCAATTTCTACTTAATACATTTTTCTTGGTGCACCCATATTCGAAAAATCCTAGATTCGCCTCTGGATATGAAGATTATATATATACATTATCTTTAAAAATATTATTGATGTGACTTTCACGGGTGTATTACTAATTTCATTTTCTTTTATTATATGTATCTCTACAAGGTAATTGCTACTTAATATAAACTAATAAATGATCACATCATAACTTTGATGATTTTTTAAGGATACATCGAATAAAATGTGTCAAGTTCGAAGGGAAAGTCTTTAGGTGTTGTGGCTTCTTTTTAAAGGGATCTTAGTTCGAATCGGAGGATTTCAGAAAAAGCTCGAAATATTCCTTAAATATACCTTCTTTTTAAAAAATACTAAGCTTTTGATACTAAAACTCAAAAGGCAATTAATAGAAAATACAATCCAATCTAACTCCCCCTTACATGCAAGAACTTACACCAAACGATATTAAAGGGGAAAAAGGGTCAAATATGCTTATAAACTATTTGAAAATGTTTAGATATACCCCTGTTTGAAGTTTGACTCACCCATGCCTTCGCCGTCCAACTTTTCACATAGATGTGCCATTGTAGACGTTAGTTGCTTTGCTGGAAATAACCAGCTCATATTACTTTCTTTAAATGACAAATGAAATTGTCACATCCCCTTTTAATTACCACATGACATTTATATTAAAAAATCAATTAATTAATACACCTCTTTTAGATAACCTATTTGATCCGTAAATCTGCCCTTTTAACTGACCCATATATCACATCCGACCTAAAAATCATTCCTTTTAACCCATTATCAAAGCCCTAACGTTTTTTAAGTTACAGATTACAAAATACACATGACAAAGGTTATAGATCCTGTTTCATCACTCAAAATGTGATGATTGCTGACAAACAACACCACGACATAGCTATCACAATTCAAATTTTACAAATCTTTTTCTTAGATTTTTGAATCCCATCATTATTATCCACCAAAGACTTATCGACAACAACCTCTTCATTATAGACCCATTTTCAATAATCACATTTATAACCCTGCACAATTATGAACTTGAAATCAACAATAGCAAAAGATTTAAAAATTAATGAAATTGTATGATAAATTTACATTAGGCTTAGAACATTTATAGACAATA